GGTCTAGATGACCCCAGCTAGATGCCTATCTAACCTCCTCTTGAAGACCCCCAGGGTAGGGGAGAGCACCACCTCCCTTGGGAGCCCGTTCCAGACCTTGGCCACTCGAACTGTGGAGAAGTTCTTCCTAATGTCCAGTCTAAATCTGCTCTCTGCTAGCTTGTGGCCATTATTTCTTGTAACCCCCGGGGGCGCCTTGGTGAGTAAAACCTCCCCAATTCCCTTCTGTGCCCCCGTGATGAACTTATAGGCAGCCACAAGGTCGCCTCTCAGCCTTCTCTTGCGGAGGCTGAAGAGGTCTAGGTGCCCCAGTCTCTCCTCGTAGGGCTTGGCCTGCAAGCCCTTAACCATACGAGTGGCCCTTCTCTGGACCCTCTCCAGGTTATCCGCATCCCTCTTGAAGTGCGGCGCCCAGAATTGCACGCAGTACTCCAACTGCGGTCTGACCAGCGCCCGATAGAGGGGAAGTATCACCTCCTTGGACCTATTCGTCACGCATCTGCTGATGCACGATAAAGTGCCATTGGCTTTTCTGATGCCTTCGTCACACTGCCGACTCATGCACATCTTGGAGTCCACTAGGACTCCCAGATCCCTTTCCGCTTCCGTGCCACCCAGCAGGTCATTCCCTAGGCTGTAGGTGTGCTGGACATTTTTCCTCCCTAGATAGGTTTTTCTTTTTGTCAGCACCTATTTTCCTTAGATAGGTGCTGACACGATACAGGACCGATGTACCAGTGCACCTATACTTATGGGCCAGGATTCTTTGTAGACTTGCTTTACAGGCCTTTTCTTTTGGCAAGGTTTTCTAGCTCTAGACTAGAGCAATCTTGGTTGAAATACTGAAGTGTTAACACATTTCTGCTAACTAGAAATGTTACCAGACTTAGAGTTTTTTTTCATAAGTTTCTAAAGCTTATTTCTGGGCAAGTATCCTTTTATTGAGGAACTACTTCAATTTTTCAGTCATGCATGTTGGAAGTAATGCTAGATTTGGTTTATCGGATGACTAGATGTCTTAATGTATTTAAAATGGCATAAACTAACAAAGTTCTGAAGAGGACTGGATGCCTTGGAAAACCCAGTTGACTGGTTTCAAGAGACCTCTGTACTGTTCTCTAACTCATGTCAAATGAGTTGATTTTTATACAGTTCTTGCTGCTATTTGAAAACCACTCTGATATTTGTTGCCTCTTGGTAGGAGTCAAGGATTTGAATGGCTGTGGAAAAATCCACCCGTTGTTTGTAGCAGTGATCTCTCCAAAAGGCTAGGGTCCTACTTGCACTCAACCTGTAGAGGTATCGCTGCTGGAGCATCAGGTGTTGGTTGTTAAGGCGCAGTTGTAGAAGCCTCAGCATACGTGTATGGCACGCTGTTGTGATTGCAGCATATCTTTTTCGTGCTGAAAAGGCCTACATCGGAGCACGCTAAGTGCGGGAAGTTTTGTTCTGTTTGAGTTTTGTTGGATAGAAAACCTTGCCAAAAGAAAAGGCTTGTAAAACGAGTCAATAGAGTTGACAGCTGAGTTGCCAATCCTGGTTGTAAGTACTTAATTCTGACTAGATCAGAGAGGGTTACGATATGGCTGTGGCGGTTTTCTGTTTTACTTCAGGTTTAGATCGCTTTGTTATTGCACATTAAAGTACTGAAGAAGTTGAAGAAAAGGTTGAGATGCTTGTCTGAATCTTGAATTGATCTTGGAGAAGTTGGAGATCTTGTATTATAACAGTTTACTTTTGTTTCCTTTATATTTTAGGTAATCTTGTTATTGAAAATAAACCATCCCCTGGTTACACTCCAAATGTGGTCGTTGGACAGGCTCCTCCAGGAACAAATCACATCAACAAAGCCCCAGGACAAATTAATCTAGCACAGCTCCGGCTTCAGCATATGCAGCAGCAGGTGTATGCACAAAAACATCAGCAGTTGCAACAAATGAGAATGGGACAACCAGCTGGCCCAGTCCCTAGGCAGACAGGCCCGCAAATGTTACAGCAACAGGCAAGTTTCCTGACCATTGTTGCCTTGCACTGCATAACGTTAAGACTCAAATCTGTGCTGCTTCAGTACGAAGTTACCCAGTTCTGTCGTGCAGTATTCATTTATAATGTATGTCTTACGAAAGTTGACATGCTTTAAAAGAGGGCAGCTCTTGGCTTGCCTTAGTACGGTGCATTTTGTCAGTAGTCCCAGCTCTCTCTTTGGAGGAAGACTTGCTTCTTGTGTCCTTGTTCAAAGCAAGGATTTAAGACACCCCCCCCCCAACTCTTGCAGCCTCCCAGGTTGATCAGCATGCAGACCATGCAGAGGGGGAACATGAACTGCGGGGCTTTCCAGGCGCACCAGATGAGAATGGCTCAGAACGCTGCACGCATACCGGGAATACCGCGCCACAATGGACCACAGTACTCCATGATGCAGCCTCACCTTCAAAGACAAGTATATCCTGTGTACACACTTTGTTTGCCCCCTTTATACCAAGCTTTCATTTAAAAGTTGGAAGTCTCCGATAACTGTATAGTTTTATGTAGATACACTTGTGTATTTTAGCATTGCACAAGTTATGCGTGCATTTTGACTTTTAATAGTATATCGCACCAGGACATTCTATTAAAGGAGTATTAGGGGGAAAAAAACCCAAAATGAACATTTTAAATGGCTGTTTACTGTTCTTGACTCTTGGTCTGGTAAGAAGCTGAAACAAAAATAGTTGTTTTCACTCTGGTGGCTGTGCAGCTGTTGAGCCTCTAACATCATTATGGTATCAATAGAAATTTTGTTTTATTTGGGGTTAAGAATACTTCATCCTAAATTATCTTAAATATGTGACCCTTTAAATAGGATTCAAAGCTTGGCTTACTACTCCAAATAAAAATCTCAAAATAATGAAAGATAACCAAAAGACAAGACTGCTTTTAAAAAAGAAAAGAAAAAACAAGTCTTTATCAATGCTTTGCAGAAGCACAGTTGTGAATCTAATATGGAAATATAAGCTCTGCTAAAGTCTTCTACAATAAACCATTACTTTTCCTGTGTAGTTTCATTTTCTTAGAAAATAATTAAAGCTCATGGGAGATATGGGAGTTCTGTGCTGTATCCCAGGATCGCTAGCGAGCCACAGTCTGTAGACTTTTTGCCATTCCAGATTAGACATGAAATGCTGGCTGTTTACTTAGCGTATTACATTATGCTTTTAAGTCTCCTATTCGTATTATATCTTCAGCAAAAATTACTAAACTAGATTGGGAATAATATCAGGAACCTGCCTGTAGTGTAAAGTCCAACGATGTTATGTGCAAATAGATAGGGGTGCACCGATAGAGATTTTCTTGGCCAATACCAACCCAATAGCCGATTTTACAGGAATGCAGCCTGGCAGCAGCCTCGTGCTGGTAAGTCTGTGGGGGTGCAGATCAAGGCCCCCACTGTGAGGGAGGGAGTGGGGCAGAGGCCAGGGGCTGCCCAGCCAGGGTGGTGAGTAGGACCCCGGGGCCAGGAGTGGGACGGAAGCATGGGGAGCTCGTCCGGGCAGAGGCGGGGAGGGAGGCGGCTCGCCACTGCTGTATGCACCCCCAGGGGAGGCATGGAGGGCATTGGCCCCCCAGATTTGTGCGCAAGACAAGGGTGGACTGCCGCGGTGTGCTTGGGGCCAGAGGCTGCACCAACCTTTTCCTGGCAGGGGAGCTGGGCGGCAGCACTGGAAGTGATATCTTTGGTGGGGTCGAGGGGAATTTTGGGGTGGTTATAGTCCCTCAAACCCCCCTGGCGCCACCCCTGCTTGGGACACTCTGCTCTGCTGCCTTTCCCTCGGGAGCCCTGCCTGCACTTCCCAAGGGAAAGGCAGCAGAGCAGAGTGCCGGGGGGGCTTGGGGAGCTATAGCCACCCCAAAATTCCCTGTAACCCCACCATAGCCACCCCTCCCATTGCCGCCCACCCCACAGAACTGAGCCTGTCCCAGGCCCAGCCTCCCTGCCGGGAAGAGGCTGGCACAGCCCCTGGCTCTGAGCCCACAGCGGGCCATGGCTCCGTCCCACGCCTGGCCCCAGGGTCTTATTCATCACCTTGGCTGGGAAGCCCCTGCCCTATTCCCTTCTTTACCATGAGGACCTTGATCTGCACCCCCCACCCCCACAGCCTTACCTGCTGGACATTGCTCTCCAAGCTGCCGGCTACATTCCTGGCTGCGTCCATGCTGTGGCTGCGCACGTGCACACAGCGTTTATCAGTGAGATTATTGGCTACGCTGGCCAAAAAAAGCCAATGGCCAAAAATTTTAGTTTTCCTTCTATCACTGCCAATTCGATATGCGACCGATATATTGGTGCACTTTTACAAATAGCTGCTTTACTGTCTTTCTTCTGACAGTGCCTGTCTCTCTACCAACAGCATTCTAATCCAGGGCATGCAGGACCTTTTCCAGTTGTTTCAGTGCACAACAACACTATCAATCCCACCAGTCCTACAACAGCTACAATGGCAAATGCAAACCGTGGTCCAACAAGTCCATCTGTTACAGCAATAGAACTCATTCCTTCAGTGACAAATCCAGAGAATCTCCCTTCCCTGCCAGATATCCCACCCATTCAGGTTAGTGTTCCAGATCCAAACACTTCGGTACTGATTCAGTAACAGACTTGCTTCTACTAAAATTGCCTTTACTTCTTCTTTTTTTTCTTTTTTTGTATGAGTACTATTACTACAGTAAGTATGAAGGCTGGTATTGTTTGCAATCCTTTTCAGTAGATTGCCACCTTCCTTTGGCCATGACTGTTTGACTCTCCAGTGCTGACTTGCTCAGCTTGGTTAAAGCATACTGATATTATGGAGTAACTTAATAGTTAATACACAACATTGATATCAAGACCCCGAGTGACACTTACGGCCACAAGAAAAGATGTCCAATAAGAATATCTATTTTAGTGCCTAAGGCTGGCTACACAGGGAAAGTGTAACCAGTTGTACAACGTTGTTGAACCTGATGCCATTTATGACCCAGAACTTCACTAATTCAGATTTAAGGTTGCCTCATTATGCCTGTAAGGTTTTTTGAAGCACTTGTCACTTGGATCATTATCTAGAGTTGCGATAGTGCCATTTTTCTGATTTAGTTTGATAGAGACTCTTCTGATTTGAGTAATTGACGTCAAGTGAGTTAAATCTGTCATTTTAATTTGCATATTTTTGAATTACTCCACTCTGACACTACAGCTTTTCCTCATTTAGAGAAACCTATTTCAGTAAATAACTGAAAAGTAAGCTTAAGTTTTAGGCTGCTGATGTACTTGTCAGTGAGTTCCTACTTCAGTAATTTAGAGCGTTACTAATTCTGGTATAAATGTTATTGTGAAGTGAGAATATAACTGGAAGCTGTGCAGGTGTGTGCTGAATTCAGTCAGTGTTTGTTGGGAGAACAGGCTATGCCTGCAGGATGTAAATAAGCTTATGGCAGTCTGGCAATTTAATACTTCAGGAGTATTTAGAATAGATAACTAATCTAATGTTTCTTATCGTTAGGTATATTTACTTTTCAAGGATTTTATAATTATTGATTGGCTACACAGAGAAAAATTGACAACTTTAATTAAAAATGCATTGTTCAGCTAACATGTATGCAATTACATGTACCCTTACATGTGTATGCAGATGAAAAATTGTTACCGGTTCATGATGTGATATCCTTTGGGCGAAGTACCTTGGGAGGTGCAACTTTCTTAACCTCTGGCCTTCTCTGACTTAGACTTGGGATTTGTTTTTCAGCTGGAAGACGCTGGATCAAGTAGCTTGGATAACCTACTCAGCAGGTACATCTCAGGCAGTCACCTACCCCCTCAGCCAACGAGCACCATGAACCCTTCCCCGGGGCCCTCAGCCCTGTCTCCAGGATCATCAGGTAAGCTGGAGAGAGAGGATGGGAGGGGGCTGTGTGTTGAAAATAACTGGCAAGCGATTTCCCCAACGTAGTTTAAAATTATTTTCCTCTCCTTTCTTGGGATGTAAATGTTTAGATTATTGTTATTAGTCAGTCTGTATAGGCTTGATTTGCACATACCCACGAAACAGTTCTTTCAGCACCCTAGTGGGTCTCTTCCCCATGTAACGTTTTTTCTAATTTATTTTCCCTCTCTTTGAGTTGGTATGACATCTATACAACAGGTCTGCCTTTGTACTAACTTATTTTTAAAAAGTAGAGACATTTTTAGGTCAGGAGCGTGGCCGTCTTTGTTTGGATTAAATTAAGTAATTACTGGGATTGTGACTTGAAAGGCAACTGACAAACTACCATTAAAATGTCAGTATTGGGTCAAACTGTGTGCTTGAGCCAAGTGGCTGAAAGGTTGCTGATTTGCCTGAACTGTTGGGCCACCATTAGCATCGTTGTTGTTGGTGGTGCTCCGTGTATTCTACTGTAAATGTTAACACCTTACACAGAATCAGCTTTTCACAGAAATGCTTTTTTTCCAGGTTTATCAAATTCCCACACCCCAGTGAGGCCGCCTAGCACCTCTAGCACGGGCAGCAGGGGGAGGTGAGTATGTTACTAGTTAATAATGTGGCTAAAAAATCAAATGTCAAGAACAAATAGAGACTTCAAAAGTCTTTAACCAATCATTGTTATAACTGTGACCTCTTATTTGAGGAGGGATTCCATATAGCAAATTCATGTCTTAACCCATCGCAAATGTTTTTTTTTGTTGTAAATTATAGGCATTAGCGAAAAAAATCAGAGCAGCTTTGGCTTTTAAGCAGACATTTTCAGCGAGACTTAAGGGGGTGTTTGTTTTGTTTTAATTTTGAAGTGCACCTGAGCTTTCCATATACTTACACACTTCTTTTTCTAGCTGTGGTTCATCAGGCAGAACTGCTGAGAAGACGGGCATTACTTTCAAGTCTGACCAAGTGAAAGTCAAGCAGGAGCCTGGGACGGAGGAAGAGATATGTAGTTTCTCAGGAGCAGTGAAGCAAGAAAAAACAGAGGATGGCAGAAGGAGCGCATGCATGGTACAGTTGTTGGGTGAAATTGCATGTTACCGCACCTTGGAGAACCAGGAAAGCAGAAATACATGGTGCTTAGGAAACACAGAGCCTTTTAGCGAGTGAAAGGCAAGCTGCTCCCCAGTACTGTGCCTGAGCTCTGTTCTGTATGGCATGGGTCCAGAGAGAACAGGGCCTGCCAGTATCTCGCCAGCGCTGAGGCTGCTGGTGGTAACGATAGGGTTTAATGACGTGAATACCAGTCCAGGGGCACCAGGACTGGGATTGCCACTCGTTTGCTATATACTGTCAGACAGATGCTTCCCCTTTTGTCTTGGGCTGATTTGGACTAGATTTGATCTAAACGTGCGAGATGCCATCCTCTCTTGGCAGGTGTTGCTCTTGCATGCCTTGGAAGTGGCACAGCAGAAATGAGTTGGAACTTAATCTCTAGCTGGCCCTGCTTAGGAGTTGATCCTACCCTTTGGTTCGTGTGCTGAATCTGATGTGGTCAACAAGATGCAGGCTGGAGTCTGCCAACTAGTGCTTTCTTCAGGCATTCAGTAAAACTACCATCAGCATCTTAGTACGTTCAGTTTTTAGTCTCTAGCTAATAAAAGCTTTAAATAGCTCCATCTTGGACTTTCAGCGTTAATCTAATCGTCACAAACATTCATCCAAGTCCACTGCAATGCCTCGTAGAAAAACAGTCTTAATCTCCCAAATGCATAAACTGATTTACCAGAATGAGCTCATCACAACACTAATGCAAGGATGCTGAGAAGCCACCCAAGAGAGCACTGCAGGGTTTTTCAACTCTGGTTGATGTCTTGGTGGGGTTGTGTACTGGGAGTGGGATGAGGGAACTTGTTATCCAAAGCCCTTCTTAAAGGTCAGCCTAAGAACAGTGAAGTAGCAGGTGTGTTTTCTGTAGAATTTATCGTTAGATTGGGCCGTCCGTGTAAGAGGCTAGACTTTTATACAATAGTGGTTCTCTTGCCAGCGTTCTTAGTCTGCCGTGGTAGTAAGCAGCCAAATGTCTTCTGATCCCCAGTATGTGAGGAAAGATGAATTTGTAGACTGATCCCTTTGCAGATTATCATGTGCTGCTTTTATTCCAGCTTAGCAGTCCCGAGAGCAGCTTGACACCACCTCTGTCTGCGAACTTGCATCTGGAAAGCGAGTTGGAATCTTTGGGGAGTCTTGAAAACCATGTAAAAGCTGAACCAGCAGATTTAAGTGAAAGCTGCAAGCAATCTGGGCATAGTCTGGTAAATGGGAAATCCCCAGTAAGAAGTCTAATGCATCGGTCAGCACGAGTGGGAGAAGGCAACAACAAGGAGGATGATCCAAATGAAGATTGGTGTGCCGTATGCCAAAATGGAGGGGATCTCTTATGTTGTGAAAAGTGCCCAAAGGTGTTTCACCTCACTTGTCACGTACCGACACTTCTCAGCTTCCCCAGGTACCAGAGATCAAATCAGCTTTCCATTCCAAAAAACGGCTTTGTAGGCTTTTTTGTAGGCTGCTCAACAGTATGAGTGACCCTGGAGCCCCAGCGCTCACGAGTAGCACAAAAACCTCCAACATGTTCGCTGGCCCATACGTGCATGTGTGTTCCCTGTATGGCGTCGTTATTTTTCACTGACGCTGAAGACACGCGCAGGGTACAGGCATACGAGCTTGATAAACGATACGATACTATACTATGTTATAGGAGCCTTTAATATTCGACACGGTGACTCTGGGGAGGTGAAGAAGCTATAGAAGTATCCAGGTGGTCACTGAATAGTAGACCTAGTCTCTGGATTCCTGAACTAATTGTGTCTCTTCTTATTTAGTGGGGAGTGGATATGTACGTTCTGCAGAGATCTGAGCAAACCTGAAGTAGAATATGATTGTGACAATTTGCAACATAGTAAGAAGGGGAAAACAGCACAAGGCTTAAGTCCGGTGGACCAAAGGGTATGTGTTAAAGACTGTAGGCATCAGAGTCTAAGAAGTGTCATATTTGGCTTGTTAATCGATTATTCATTGTCATCCCCACGCTATACCTGTACTTTACCCAGTAAGCGAAAATTTCTTTGTAAACACACTGCATATTTTACCATTAATGTTCATATATCAATTAATCTCAGAAATGGTTCTCATTAGGAGCTCTCGTGGGTTTAACCTTCCTAACTTTTGTAAAAGTTTTAGCTTCCCTGATGCAGTTAGTTCCTTTACCTAAGTTGCATTTCTTAAATGTGTGATGAGAGGTGCTTTTGGTTCTTTAAGAGCATATTGGAAAAAGCATGTTGTGTGCCTATTATCTCCAGCTTTGTAGATCCAGCTATGCATATTGTTTAACGTAAGCAGTCAGATTGCCTGCAACCTATTACTTATTAAATGGATTCCCTTCAAGGAGGCTGTTACCCAGTTGAAAGAGTAAAATGTTTGTGATGGGGGAAATGATAACAAGCAATAGTTTGAATGGATTTTCAGATTGTTTCATTCCAACCTCGTGTGGAAAAAGTAGGCAAACCCTAGAGTGTCGTCCGGTGGCACAGTATAATTAGTCGCCTGCAACAGGCTGACGAACATAACAGCGTCGCTGACCGCTGCCCAGTTGCCCTTCCTGAGCTGGCTGCCTTCATTTAATGGTTTTTTGCAGCATTTGGTGTGTTAGCCCAGCTCTGTCCCCCCTGGGAAAAGGAAAGCAAGGGAGGAAGGCAGGGGTAACAAGCTTTTTCCTTTGGGCTAGCTGAAGTAAATCCGTTGTTCCCTTCACAATGGATACTTTCCATATCTTTGAAAATGAATGAAAAGTAAAATCTAGGCTCAAGGTTTCATTTTCTGCTAGTGAGACTATAATATGAACCTATTGAAGTATAGACTCTTTGCCTGAAGTTAAATGTAGGGTATTAATTTTAAGATTTCTGGTTTGTTTGTTTTCACAAGAAATGTGAACGTCTCCTGCTTTACTTATATTGCCATGAGCTGAGCATTGAATTCCAAGAGCCAGTCCCCGCCTCGGTGAGTTTCCTGCTGCGTGATGCTGGGGCGGGGGGAAATTCAATGAAAATAAAATGCAAGTGATGTCTCCAAGGGGCCAAAGTCTTAACAGGTGTCTGTGTTGGGAATGAGTTGTTTGTTCTTCACATTCATCAGCAAGACGCTGTTGGAGTAAAACCAATCTGAAAATGTCACTGGTCCAACTTAGAATGGCACTTTGCATTGTTAAACGTGTGTTTCTTCTAAAATGTTTTCAAATAGCAATAGTTGAACGGGCTGAAAAGGTTTTGGGGTATCTGATAGAATGCAAAATATTTTATCATTTGAATTTAGCAGAAGGCTTTAAAAAAACCAACCCATTGGTAGCCATGTGGATAGAACAAACATTTGATTCTCTTTTGACTTGCAAGAGATGTAAGAGAAGTCGCATTTAATGGTTCTACAAGACAGTGATGCTACAGCATGATCTTTATACACGACTTGCTTTCCAGTGTCCAGTATGTGTTGTATTATTAACTTGATTATTATGTTGTTGATTATTGTGGTGTTAACCTTCCCCGCGCAGTCGTGGTTTTCCCATATACGCAGTGTGCGTGTGCTCTGACGGGGCTGGGCGGTTGCTGACCTTAAGTGAATGGAATCTGCTGCTTCTGTGAACAGAAGAATTGCATAGCAGCCATTTCGGGCGGTTTGTGATCACATGCACTCTTTCTTTGCAGATACCAAACTACTATAAAATTATAAAGAAACCAATGGATTTATCAACGGTGAAAAAGAAGCTGCAGAAAAAACATTCCCAACACTACCAAACTCCTGAGGATTTTGTGGCAGATGTCCGGCTGATCTTCAAGAACTGTGAAAGGTTTAACGAAGTATGTTCGCTTCCAATCTCTAGAGCAGTTAAGGTTGATGTAGGGCTGATTCTGCAGCTGCTCCACACAGCTCCTGCTTGCCGAGCAGAAGCGCGGTGTGTGGAACACCTGAAGAGTTGGACCCTTTGCAAGTAAATACAGCCCGAGTGCAGGCCTTCCTTTCGTGTTGGCTGAGAGGGTTACACGGTGCACTGAAGGCACAAGCTGCACCAAGGTTTGCAGGGAGCAGTTGGCTTGGCAATAGCTGCTCTTAAATTTGGATTCTGCACCAAGGAGCAGCATGACCCTCGTGGCTGGCCCATCTCAAATGGATTGCAGCCATGCCTCAGAAGTGCACGGTTAATCGGGCATCCCTCCAAATCTCACAGATGATATCAAAAGCAGACTGCCACATCAGTGCTTATCAAATATTATGCCGCAAACTTTGTTAAGGAAAAAAAGCCTCTGCAGAGAGCAGCCCTCCTGAGTCTAGCTCTTGCTCAATTAAAATGAGGTTTTAATTACTAAACAGAGCCTAAGAAGCCTTCTGCAGCATGACCCAGCAGCCCCTCACTTCCCCAGGTTAGTTCACCCCAAGAACGGGCCCAAGAGGGGCAACCCATACAGTGTAAGATCTTCCTTGTGAGTGTGGCTAAAGGCACGTGTGGCAGCGTGACTTCTGCTTGCCAAGTACCGAAGTACACACCTACCTCACAAGTGTGCACAGTGTGCATGAGAAGCTGGTGGAAAGGGTGGCAGCAGTAACGGAGGAGAACAAAGAGAAGGGAAATGTAGGCTATCACATAAGTTCCTCACCCATAAACTGCTGGAATAAGGGAATCAACCCTGGGAAGAGAAATCGTCATCTCTGAGGCTTCTCATACAATACAACCTAACGTCCTGGAGACTGGGCTGTAGGGAGGTTGGGAGCGGTAGATAATTATTTTCAATGTGTAACTTCACATTTTCTGACGCTGTTCGGAAAGAATTTCTGTCCTGCCTAGAGTGGCGGGGTGGGGGGGGCCCCAGCCCGCTTGTTAAGTCTCAGCTCTGCCTCGCGTAAGGTATGGTCTTAGTAAAATCCGAAAACAACTTGCCGAATGAGGCAGCTGTGCACATGGTTGTTCTGAGCTCATGCCTTACCGTATCCCTGTGTCAGGTAGAGAGGTTAATGGGGAATGTGGAGAGAGAGCTGCTCTCCAAGCCTCTCAATCGAGGGAGTAAATGAAGTGTCCACTTTGGAAGAAGCTGCTGCTGCTGCTCTGAGAGGTGTTGCATCTGTCAAGACTAGGAGGCGGGTCTGGGAAACGGGTACTTTTAAAAGGACTCTTCAGACCTGACTCCTCACACTCTTAAGTGCTGACTCTAACTTCGCAAGCTCAGGGGGTCTGATTGCTCAGGGTGTAGGGCCAGGGCTGGTTCCCGTGTCTGCTTGTCACATGGAGGTAACAAAGTGGGGAATGAGAGAGGCAGGAAAGCCCGTTTCTTTTGTAGAAAAGAACTTGCGCAGGAGCTCTTCTGTTACAACTGAAACCGCGTTGGCTTTCCACGATACTGTTCTGGGCAGCTGAGTTTTGGTAAAGAAAAATCCGTCGTGAGAATCATTTGCTTTAATGTAACTGGTAGCCGTTTACTGTATCCAAGCCTCCTATGTTGCCCAAGGTCCGTGTGCTGTAGGTTTCGAAAGAGCCTCATAAAGCGGGTGGCCTCTCTCTGTTGAATTTGAGAGCTAAACCAATCTGGTCATAACAGTCTGTTTTTCCTGTGATGGCTGACTTCAGTCATCCAACCCTGTGCAATCGCATAACTTTAGAAAGGATTATAATTTCATTTTTTTTGACTCTGGTGTCCTTTTTAGATGATGAAAGTTGTTCAAGTTTATGCAGAAACACAAGAGATTAATTTGAAGGTAAGCGTTTCAGACCATGCACACTTGGTGAAGGGACATGCGTTACCAACAGGTGAATATTCCTGTTCTTTATTTGCAGGCTGATTCAGAAGTAGCGCAGGCAGGGAAGGCAGTTGCGTTGTACTTTGAAGATAAACTTACAGAGATCTACCCAGACAGGACCTTCCAACCTTTGCCTGAGTTTGAACAGGAAGAGGACGATGGTGAAATAACGGAGGACTCCGACGAAGATTTTATACAGCCACGTAGAAAACGTCTAAAATCAGATGAGAGACCAGTGCATATAAAGTAATCTGATAATATGGACCTAAACTTATTGTAAAAACTGTTATTTAAGTGTTCCCGGAATAATATCATGCCTACAGTGGCCATCTTGAAGAAGCTGATAGCTTTTAGACAGTATTAGATTACAAAGCAACATTTGTACAGAAAAACGTTCTTGTCAAAACGGGGAAAACCTGTATTGTATTTTTGGGGGGGTTTTTTTTTTTTTTGGTTTTTGGATTACTTGGAATTTCCTTTTCTTTTCCTGTGAAGATTCTCTCTCGGCCTGTTCTCACAGATAGAGGTGGGCGAATGCTGAGAAAGGTGCAGACTTGAGAGGGCACTCCTTGTACAGATAAGTGGACTGTTGCACTGCTTAATACATTTTCTGCAAGACTGGACCAATATGGTTACTGTATCTCTCACGCTGGACTGCAGGCTAAACTGTAAGAGATGTGGCTAGCAATCCCCTCTTGTGTGAAATGGAGTGCGAATTAGATCACTGATTTGATCAACTTCTCATTTAAATGGTGTTGTGAGTGACCGACCTTCTGTGTTGATCCAGATATCTAGAGTACGCCGCCTTTCCAGCATTTTATGTACAGAAACATCACGAATGATCATTAAACCGTTCTGACTTGGCAAGTGCAGCAGTGTGAGTTCTTAATACATACAGGACTAGGTCTGGCTGTAACAAGTGCTTCTTGGTAGGGTCCATTTATAGGTATTAATGGAGTCCAATGTACGGAGCTTGTACACATACTTCTTTTTTGGAATTCATAGGATTTTTTGTCTCTTCCTAATCCCCCCAAGAGGCAGAATGTATTCAGTTTTTGTTACCTAGATTTCTGTACTTACAAATTTAGACTGAGAAGGTAATAACTGGTGGTTTTCCAGTCTTCCTAAATATCAGTTTCTGAGAGACCACTATTGGCAAACAATAACCTGTTGACTACCAAATGTGTAAAATTTCCTGTATTCACTTTGTCTTATTTGTAAATAGTGGATTGAAAATTCCTGCAGATCAGCAACATTTGTTGAGCTGTTTTTAAGCTAATGTGTATTCTTACTAATTGTTCCTATCAAGAACAGATTTGTAATATATGCTATTTCTAACATTGCATTCATATGGAGGTTCTATCTTATTTTTATTAGAGAACTACTCGAAACTTTCTTCGGAAGCAGCTTATGAGTGAAATGTCTAGAAAGATTGGAAGAAACCTGTTGGGACTGGGTTACTTGCCTTGCATGACACGGAGTTACTTGCACAGACCACGATTTAAATAGAGCGGCTTCTGGTCAGATGTTGAAAACAGATCAGTCCCCAGCCAAACTCTGTATGCAGTGGGCATCTCTGCAGCGCCTTTCCACAGCACACTGCCTCGATTGCAGCATTTGTGGGTAGAGATGCCTTCTTGACAAAGTAGTTAAACTTTGGACAGCTAAATTTCCTCCTTTTACTGGCCTGCTCTTTAAGGACTAGCACCGAGAAGTGGGATTTCTAGCCCTTGTACAGTCGTACAGTCTTCTGTTGGAACAAGATGAAAAAGTCCTGTGTAAAGAGACAAGATCGAGGTGCCCAAAATGCAGATTTGCCATGACATTTTGTGTGAATGAAACAGAAATGTGGCAAATAGTCAAGGGGTTTTTTTGGTTTGGTTGTTTTTTTTTCATTTTTTCTTTTCAGCATGAGAAACTATTCATAGCATATAAAGAAAGATTTGACTTAACCATATGATAGAGGTAAATATTGTAGCACAAAATCTATTGAATCAACAAATGATGCTCTTAAGAAATCTTTATGCAAATCACTTAGGTTAATTTTGTTTGTATACAGTCCGAACATGAATGCATACAGCATGTGACTAAATCCTTTCTCAGCCGCAGAAAGGGTGTGAAGGTGCTTACAGCTTTGGCTCACTTCCTTAGGTTACCTTAAACATTGCGCTTAAAGGATCAAACAGAATTTTGATTTTGTTCTTTACTTTCAAGTGGTAATGTTTTTCCAAAGGATTTTGTCCAGTAAATTGTAATCATAAATAGTTTGCATCCAAATCAAAAAGAATGGCTAATTTGAAAACATGCCAGCGTCTGCTCTCAGAGAAGCATGAGTGGGGTGAATGGGAAGTTCTGATCCGTAAGTAAAACTGGATTATTTAATGACTGTACACTCGTCACCTGTTCATGCATTTCTAGATTCTCTCTTAGCTTTGCCGATTGGAACGGAATTTGTACTATTAAACGTACAGCGGACAAGATTTTCTGAGTTCTCTTCAGTTGGGTTTGCTAGTTTTTATGGCATGTGTAAGCACTCTAGTTTCTGCAGATGTTGTTTTAAATTGTTAAGACTTGTCCTGCCCAGGCTGATTCTGCTCCCCTGTAACAGGTAGAAAATTCACTCTGGTCCAGACCTTTTGTAATCTTGTAAATTAGCCTTTATTCCATTAGTGAGTCTGAAACCCCAGCCGTGATCCTGGTTACAGGTGAAGCTTTTTTTTCTTGCACATTACCCCGAAAACTTCCTTTCTTGTCTTCAGAATACAATAAAGATGACCATTTATGTGAGATCTCAAGCCGCGTGCAAGAAATCTCAAGTGTTTTCCTTCACATCTGTGTACAGAGAAATGAGTGAGACTAGTGTGTCCGAGAGGATTTTCGTTGTTGTTCGGTTGGTTGTTCCCTTTTGGAAGTCCAGATCTGATAATCCGGTAGCTGTTCGTAGTTAGCTAGGGTCCATTCAAGCAGGATCCTAAAAGACGTTTCAAGTACGTTGATATGCTGCTTTCCCCCTTAGACCATGAAGGTAAATTGATCTTAAGAACTGGTCAGAGTTGGCTCAGCCAAAACAGGTTTTGTGCCATGTTGCATCTATTTTGCTCGATAGCAAGTGATTGTTTTTGTATCCGTGGCATGACGCGTCGGTTGGAGCGATTGATGACGGTTGAGGGACGTTGGGATGGACGAGGTGCCGTACGGCGGGGGAGAGCCTTGTTGCAGAGGCCAGGCAGGCATGTCGCGTGGTTTCTCTGCGCAGCTGCCGTGTCCCAGCGTGATAGCAAGGTGCTTGATGCAGTTATACGCTTTGATTTGAAACTCTCTTGTAAAGAAAAAAAGTATCGTTCACGTCTCACTCTTTTTGTTGTAAATGGTCCTGACGTTTAAGTTAATCCAAAGAAGTAAAAGGCAACTCGCTTTGAACCAGGAGTGAAAAGTGTACAGTGTGCTAATTGTGGACTTCTCGATTACCTCAGCAGGTATCCTGCCATGTAATTACTAGTGATTAGTGTTAATTTAACCAGCTAAATAGGTTCAGGTCTCTTACTTAACTGTGCCCTGGAATTAAGTGGCCTAACATATGTTGTATTAAGGCTGAGTTCCTATCCAAAAAAAGGGTGTTCCCCTAACTTTTAAAGATAGAAATGCTCTGTTACATGTAGATAGCTTGTTTTTGTGAAATGTCACCAGTACTACTAGTTGTGGCATTTGCTGTGTGTCCGCATACTCAACACTGGATCCGGGAGATGTTTTATAAACATTTCTGCAAGCCACTCGAACGAACAGAAATCTTCGACATTAACCCACCCCTGCCCTTCTGTTGTATAACCTAGTTTTAGCTGATCCTACTTAAGCTTAAGTGATGGCAACAGTGTTTTAAAGTTGCGTGTATGATGTACTGGATGTAGGCTTTTTCCTTGTTTTTCTGATTCTCTTCCTTGGAAAAAAGCAATAAAACTGCTTTGTCTGTTGCCTATTAGCATGACAGGAGTCCTTTCCTTTGGATAGTGGTTTTATAGGAAAGTTTGTATGCATATCACCAAGTCTAGCTTTTAAAAATAAAGTGTGCAGGAGTTATTGACAATATAGTGTGGCATTTTATTTTAAAAATTGGGGAAAGTTAACATATTTTTTTAAAAAGTAGGCGTTTGAGTAAATAATGGAGGTACTTTTTTAAAAAAAAATTTATATGCCACAGTTTACATAGACATATTTCAGACTAAACCTATACAGTACATTGTAATTTTGGAGGTGGTGATTTCTTTTATTTTGTCAAAATGCATGTACAGAAACTCTTCCATCTTAGTTCCTTGCGTTGGCTGAAGGGGTCTTCTTTATATGCTTCTTTAACAGCATCTGAATCAAAATAGTTTTAAAAATTGCAGGTAATTTGGATATCTGTATCGTAATTGACCTATCCAGTGTGCAAAATGCAGGTTTGCCCTTTTCTACCGAGTGATCTTTACAGCGAAAGGCTGCTTTCTTTCAGGCTGACAGATGTGTGCAAGAAAGGGTACTAAAAAGAACCGTACACGTCTGACTTGTTGCGGCATTCCCTGGAGAGGGTGACCTAAATTTCAAAGAAAGCGAAAGAAGAAAAGAAAATGCATGTCTGCTAGTGGCCTGCGAACGCAGGGATTTCTCAAGTTCAAGACACCACGAAACATGTACATAAACCTATAACGATTTGTGCAATTGAAAGCCTGTTTTAATTTTCTATGTAAACCTACTCATGGAAGGGTTAAATTCACAGCAGTTTTGGATTCTTTCTTGCTTCCAGTAACTAAACTGGTACTTTTTTGCACATAGTTAACTTTGCTCATCCTTCAATATGATTCTTCAAAAAGTGCTGTTTCTGTGGTATTGTATTACCTGAATAATCATATTTAACTTTTTTTAACAAGGTTACAGTTTCTAATTGTTCCGTTCCTGTGTTTTTTGCTGGTGTGTAATAAAGGCAAGATTTTTTTTTTTTCTTTTCTTGGTTATTTAATACATTAGCTGCCTGTAAATATTTCTTGTTAAATGCTCTGGAATGTGGTGTAGAAGTTGTATTAGATCAGTTTAAAGCATTGTTTGAAAACCACTTTGTTTTGGTTATTTCTATTAAATTAGAAAAAAGGAAAGAGTTTTGCTTTGAGTTTTTCTTGCAGATCTGAGTGGAGCATTGCTGAGCGTTTCTAGAAACGTTCCTTTCTTCGGCTCCGTTTTTAGCATATTCATTCCTTTTAGAAGTGAGGGCTAGGCTCGAGTGGACAGCGCGAGTGCGCTCCTGGGCTTGTCCCGTGTGGCCGGAGACCCGTCCCTCCATCCGTGGCGCGCGTGGGGAGCAGGAGGAGCAACTCCCTGCCGTGTTGAGCTCCAGGGGGTGGGAGGAAGGAAGTGGTCTGGCTGTGAAAGCGGTTCCTCTGGGGCTGGCGTGGAGAGGTCGCTCCCAGCCGGCAAGCAACAGGAGCCCCTCTGCTCACGCGCACCAGCGGGCATGGCTGGTGTCTTACCCCCCTGACGCAGGGTGCCCGTAATGGGGGGCGGCCCCCCGGACCTGTATCTTCCCTCGTGCAGCGTTAACCCTGAGCTGGGTCACACATCTCGACCCAGGCTCAACCTGCTCCTTCACGGCCAGCGCCACGACTTCCAGAGCAGCTACCCGACAGGGCTGGCTTCTGGGGATCCTCCTTGTCTGCACCCTGCCCGAGGCCAGGCCCGCTGATCAAATGTCCCTTCTGGCTTTAAAAACCTTTGTTTCAAACAGAGAACATGGTGGCGCAGAGCTCTGTGGCGCTCAGCCCCTCGCTGACACAAGCGGCCCGTTACCCTGCTGTTCACGGAAGATGGGGCGGGAGCGAGAGCGCTTGTAACTCCGAGTGCTCGGGGCGCGACCGGCACCACGGAAGCACCGCGCGGGAAGGCTGCGTCCCCCGCGTGTGGCAGTGGTAATGGTGTCGCTGGCCAAAGCACCCCTCACACGCCTACTTCCACGCTCGCGCCCACCTGCCCGCTCTGTGGCAGGGGCGTACTTTTGAACACGGGTGTTTTTGGGTGAGTTCTGCTGCCAGTCCTCGTGCCCGTAGACTCGGTGTTTGCATCCCTCGTAGCCCCCGTTCCCATGCCGGTGTGCGCGGAGCGGCTGGCTCGTAGCTCGCTGCCGCCTGGCTGCATCCGGCAGGCACGGCTCCCCGTGTTGGGCTGGGGTAAGGGAACAATGGCAGCCCTGCGGGCGGGTGTTTGTGTGTCCTGGCTAGCAGCACGGAGCATGCTTCCCCCTGTCCTCGACAGAGTCCCGGCCTTGCCAGCCCATCTGCTCCTGCTGCTGCCGGCCCATCTGCTGCATCGCCTGCTGTGCTGTTCGTTCGAGCTGCCGCTATTGCTGAACTGATCCGTCGCCCCCAGCAACCCCTGCCTGACTCCATTCAGGCCCCTGCGAGCAGGCAGACCCCTTTCAGTCTTGCTCGCATCCCCGTGGCCAATTGCCTCCATCTGCCCCGGTCTGTTCCAGCGGGCTCCGACCGTTTCCTCCCTCGAAGAGCCAACCGTTACTGGGGAGCCAGCCCTGCCTGCCGGCAATAGGGAGAGCCCTCCTCGCAGGGCTGCTGGGCAATGCTGGCTGAGACGGAGGGAGATGGTCCAGCATAGCTGGAGCTGCTGCTCCCTCCCCACGCGTGGCAGCCCCTCGGCCTGAGGACAGGAGCTGGGGGCGGTAGTGCTGCATCTTCCCTCCCTCCCTTGCGGCTCGCTCCATGGACTTGCCACGGCCGAGAGCCCGACAGGCTTCAGTGCTGGACAGATGGGTGAGTGCACGGAGGCGCGGACCGCCCAGCCCTGCAGTGCGTTTGGGGCAGTGCTGTGTTCCGGGGGTCCTGGCCCGTGCCCGCCCCGATCCCTGGCTCGGCGCGGCTGGGAGCCGCGGGGCAGATGGCGCGGGCTGCTCGTAGCCCACGGCAAGGCCAGGCAGGCTGGGCTGGTCCCTGGGGATGCCTTGCTCTGGCTCCAGACTGAGGCGGGCGCCCTGCCTGGGTCTGTCCATCCATCCACGTGTCTCCAGCGGGAGTTCCTGTGGAGGCCCAGGCACCCCGTGCCTATGGAGCCCCCCAGCCGGGCGGCAGCTTTGGGCTCTCGCGGGCCGGGCCGGGCCGGGCAGCCGGGTGATCGCCCTCGGCCAGAGCCTGGCTGCGCTGTGAAGCCCAGTGCGGGCCGGATCCCGTCCCTGCCGCCCCTGCGCTCCAGTTGCTCTGTCCTGGACTCCGTGCCCACCCCGGCCGGGCTGGGTCCCAGGCCCTGGCAGCGCGTGCTGTGGCCTGCTCCACTTTTGCAGCGGGGCGCGGTGGAAGCAGGCTCCAGGCAGCCGCACAGGTGTGCGCCCTCTCCCTCCCGGGGCTCCTGTACGCAGGAGGGCCATGCCGCAGGCTCTGCTGCCTGGCTCAGCCTCCGGCACGAGGGGTCCTTGCCCCCTCCTCCTGCCCCAGCCGCCCTCCGTGCCAGGCCTGGTGAAGCTGTAAGGGGCTGGCATCCGTGAGCACGAAGCGAGCCAGGTGCTACCGCTCGGCGCCGACAGAGGGAACCCCTGGCATCCGCAGTCTCAGCCCGGAGCTGCTGGAGCAGAGGGGAGCGGGCTTGGGGCTGCAGCCCCCGGCCGAGCACCCCGGCCAGGCTGGGCACGGCGTGGTGCAGCGCAGCAGGTAAGAGGCCACTGCCTGCAGGGCTTGGGCACTGCTTTCCTCACCCCCTTGCCCTGGAGGGAGCGTGCTGGGGCTGCCGGGCACAGGCTGAGCCTGGTCGTTCCCCGCAGGCGGCCTGGAGCAAGCTGTCGGGTCTGCCAGGCTCCCGCTGGGGCACGCAGCATTGCCCCTCGGGGGAGCAGCCCTGCAGCCAGGGCCGGTGCGCTGTGGGGGCTCGTGGCTCTGTCCTGGCAGTGTTGGGGTTCAGGCGCAGCACAGGGGCACTGCGTGAGGAAGAGGAGCCTCCCGTGAGCCCTGGTCTCGCGTGCCATCGTGCTGTGCCCTTGAGCCCCTGCCCCGCAGCCCCAGGAGGCAGAGCCGCTGCAGTGCGGGCAGGGACGGGTTTGCTGCAAAGCTAAATCCCAACCTCCTCCCTGGCACAGACCCTTGCACGTGGAGGTGGGGGGCCACCCCGGCGGGGCAGCCAGTCTGTGAGCACGGTCTGGACGTGCCAGGAGGCAGCAGGCACGTGGGGTGAAGCCTGGCCTGGCCCTGCTCCCAGCTGCCAGCCCGGGGCAGGGAAGCTGTAACCGCTCCCAGCCCTGGGCAGCGTCGGCCCAGGCTCCCACAGGCGGTGCAGGGCTTGGGCTGTGCGGGGAGAAGGCCTCGCCCGCGGCAGGAGGCTGCAGGGAAGGGAGCGTCCTCGTGGCAGCCTGTGCAGCGCCCGTGTTGCTTTGCTGTCCTGCGACCCCGGTGCGGCCGGCCCTGCGGTGGCATTAGTGTGGCACCTCGGCTGGCCTGGCCATGGGTCAGGACACCTGGCACGATGTGCTGCAGGCACCGGACAGAGCGGTGGTCCCTGCCCCGGGGCACCGGTGGCTCTGGGGCAAGAGGGGTGCTCCAGGGAGCAGAGAAGGGTGCTCAGCACTGCAGGCGCTGGGCTCAGCCAAGTCCTCATCGGTGTCCTGCCGGCATTGGGGCCCGGAGGCCGGCAGGCGCCCCAGAGGCCGCTGCGTGGGAGCTCCTCCCAAGCAGCCAGGGAGCGATCGGGAGGGGCTCGTTGGTCTGCGATGAAAAAGCCGGTGCTCGCGACCGGGTGAACGCGTGGGAAGCTTTTGAGCACTGGCGGGAGCAGGGAAAGCCCCGGGAGCCCCGGCGCAGCCCCGCGCTGGGCAGGGAGAAGCGCCCCGGCGGCTTCTCGAGGGCCCCGGCGCAGCGCCGGGCTCCGCAGCTCAGGCCGTGCCTCGCTGCACTCGGGGCCTTCAGCTGAGGTCGGCGGCCATGACCTGGGAATGGCCTCACGGTCTCCCGGCTTGAAGAGGCATCGGCCCTTCAGGCAGGTGGTCGGGTCGCCAGGCCGTGGCTGCAGGGCCCCACGTCCAGGCCGCCCCTTTTGGCCGTGGGTCCTTGCTCTTTGCAATTCCAGGCTCCCGCGGCGCGGCGCGGCGCCCGCTGCTGCTGCCCGGGCTGTGCCCAGGGGCAGGCGGAGGAGTGGGAGCCGCCCAGCAGCGCGAGCTGAAGGCCCTTGGGAGCAGACGCGCGGCAGAAAGTGCTTCTCGCTCCCGGCCTGAGCAGGGCTGTGAAGTCAGAGCACAGAGAAGTGCCGGCGCCACCTTAAAGACTGTTTTTTTTAAAGAATTTTTTCATGTCCCAAGCCCAATCGAGTCCAAACCCGAGAGTCAGTCCAGAACCAGAGGTGGCCCTGCAAGCGGCGCACGTCCTCCGCCCCACCTGGGGCTTCAGATATTTCCAATGTCTTTTGGCGGGCATCCTCCGTGCAGGCCCAAGCCCAGAGGCTGGGGGTTCGGATGCCCCCGGGGTTTGCCTGCCCTCAGCGCTAGGGCCACAGAAGCAAGCGAGGGAGGAGTCTCCCGTCTCCATAAACTGGGCTTTAACCCCAACACCTCCGCGGGTACTAAACCACGCCAGAAGAGCAGTTATCCCCGGAAGCGCTTAAGGAAAACTGCCTTCACGGACCCAGATTCGTGGTGTTTCTCCTGCCAGAGAGGGTTTTCTGGAGGCCTCCTGTTAGGAGACGTCTGTGACCTACCATCAGCACGAGGCGGTGACCTGCTGGGGCCAGCGCAGCGGAGGCGGCCGGTGAGCACGGCGTGGTGCTGTGTCCGTGCTAGCGGCCCTGCCCCCTGCTTGCCTACCGCCACCGCCCCTCGCAGTCAGAGCCTTGCCCCGGCCACGGCCCTGCGCCAAGTGCTGTGCGACTCGCTGCACCCCGCAGGCGGGTGCCTGGGGTGGGCGCGCTGGCCTCGGGGCTGGCATGGCCAGGCTTTGTCGCTGCTCCTCGTGCCTGGCTGGCCTGTGGGCTCCTGATGCAGCTGCTGGGCATGGCTGGTGTCTGTCAGGAAGCCCCAGGTGAGGACCAAGGGGCTCGCTGGGGCGCATAGGGGAGTGTGCGCAGCCGCTGCTCTGGAGAGCCCAGGGCATGCAGGGGGCTGCAGTCGGCACTGG